AATATACAATTGATGTATGTATGGATTGTGATAAGAGTTGTATGAACCCCCAATAAAATGATTTTTTTTTAAAGTTCCAAGTCCCAAATGAATAGAGATCTACACTCTTTCGTGTGTGTGTGTGTGTGTGTGTGTGTGTGTGTGTGTGTGTGTGTGACTGGAGTTCTGCTGAGGGAGCTGAGAGCTGCCCCAGGACAGGGTCTGTGCACCCAGGGGGCCGCTACCCCAAAGGGCAGAGGGCCACCATCGGCGCTCCAGCCTGGCAGCCACGCACACCTGCAGATCAGTCCCAGGCAGCAACCATTACTCTGCGGCTGCAGGTCTCGACTTCCAGATCTCTCAACAATTGTTACCAAAGAACTCCCTGCCATCGAGTGGACGCCAACTCCTAGTGACCCGAAGACAGGGCAGCACTCTACCTGGGGGGTTCTGAGATTGTAGCTCTTCGTGGGAGTAGAAAGCCATGTCTGTCTCCCGCAGAACGGCAGCTCGAAGTGATGACGTGGTTGTTGAAGGAAGGGGAGATGTTGCTCATACAAACACCTTCTGAGGGATCGAGGAGAGGAGCTCCCCCGAAACCCAGAGAGTAGGTGTAGTTGTCTAGCTGCCACGCCCGTGGTAGAAGGCATCCTTGCCTGATCCCCACTGTGAGTTGAAGATTCAAGGAGAAAGTGACTTCCTCCTGAGCAGAATCCAATCGGAATGGGCGGCAGCTGGCTTTTCAGTGGGGGTGTGTCTCGCCCAAGAGCCCCGGTGGGGGAGTGGTTATGCGTTGGACTGCGATCTGCATGGTTGGCAGTTTGAAACCATCAGCAGCTCTGTGGGAGGGAGATTGGGCTTTCTACTCCTGGAAACATTCACAGTCTCAGAAACCTACAGGGGGTCGCTGTGCATCAGCACGGACTTGATGGCCGGGAGTCTGGTGTGCTTCTCCCCTGGCCCAACAAAGGAGGCCTACTTGGCCTACATTCTGTGACTCCCGGAAGGTGAGGGGCAGAGGGCCTGGGACAAAAAAGGTCCACCCCCCACACCCCCCGCCACTGCTGAATTACATGGTTTCACTGATCCTTCAGTGATCACCTCTCTCTCCATCCCCTAACAGGCTGAACTTGGCAAGACCCGAGAAAGAAGCTGTAGTCTGCCTGGAATCGATTTTAATTATGGACTGTACATCCGAGGGACAGATGGAGGGGTGCCTGCAGGTGAGAGACCCTGTTTGGGAGCCTATACAGGCTTGAGGGTTTTCCGGGGGAGGGTGCGGTCAGTCTACCCCACAGAGCTCTTCACCAGAGCCGGCCCGTTGGCAGCTGGCCACCAGCCAGGGGAAAGACCCAGGAACCAGGCAGAAAGCACAAGCCTGGGGGAAGCCCCAGGCCAGGGTAGATGGTAGTACAACTTGGGGTGGGGGGGTGTTTGAGAGGGGGAGACCAAACAGGATCTTGACCTGAGCTCTTGCAAAGGCCAACGGGGAAGAACCTGCCTTTGGGGATGGGACCCGGGGTGCCCTGCGCTCTTAGCCCAAAGGAGGCCAAGGGTCAAGCGAACCCAGTTCCATGTAGGACGTGGAAGCACTTTCTGGAACCCCTGGGGTCCTGGTCCCTCCCTTTGAGGCTGCCACCCTTCCCAGAGGCACTGCAGGTGGGCACGGCGAGAGGGGGCAGGGAAAGAGACCTAGGTCTACCTCTTGCCCCATTTCTCCTCAGTCAGATGCCAGGCAGCCTTTCTTCCCAGACTGACTCTGTCCCTCCTGCTCCCAGCTCTTGGACACTGGAATGTGTTCAAGCAGCAGCCCACCTGCCCCACCGAGCTGACCCGGAATTACATTGCGATGAACCGGGGAGCGGTGAAAGCCGGCCTGGTAACAACCCGGGAGAATCTCCTCTACCGCCGGCTCAATGACATCCGCATCAGCGACCAGGAGGACCGGCGCACGAGGAGGGAGCCACCTGCTCTGCCTCCAGACATGACGTTCGGGGTCATGCAACGGTAAGGCTCTGGCCCCGAGTGACTCAGGGGACAGTCTCGGAGGACAGGGGTCAGTGGGCGGTCGATGCTGCCGAGCTAAAGCCTCGCCTGGCGAGGATTTGCGTAGGGATGTGCATAGGCCACCCACTTTCTCTCATTCAGCAGATTTCAAAGCCAGCCTCTGTCTGTCGCTGCCTTCAGGGGGGTCATGGCCCTGGTGAGCGTGGTGCAAGCCCGGTGGGTCACCCCAGTGCAACAGCATCCCAGTGAGGCCACAAGAGAGGCTCAAACCTGGCCACGGACCCCCAACCCGCTGCGGGATCCGTGCCCCTGTTTTTGCGGCTGTAGCCCAGGGTCATGCAGCACCGGCTGTGGAGGATTGCGGGGAGGTTGTAGGGATGTATTGTACCACACACGGGCCTGGGACATGGCGGTGCACAATATATGTCAGCTGTTATGAGTGCTGAAACCATAGAATGACAACTGGGATTTGGCTGAGGGGCTTGGTAGAGTCAAGTACTATACACTTGTTTGATTGCAATATAACTTAGCCATAGTAAAGTACACTGACCTTAAGGATTCAGCTGCCTTGTACCCATGGAAATGTTTGCGTGACCACCACCATAGAGAGATAAAACATGTAGTTCGCAACCCATGTGCCTCCTGAGAATGACCGCTTCCGCCCACTGTCTCCCCTGACTTTACTGGTTTGTAGCGCCTTCCGGTTGCTCCACAGGGTCGCAGATATTAAGAGCTTTACAGCAAGGATCTGACGAGCATGGGGCTCTCAGTCCACACAGGAACACACAGGCAGACGGGGCACCCACATAAAAGGACTCGCAGAGCCTTGTCCTTTCCACTCAGTGCCCTCGTCTTCCCCGGCCTGACCTCTGCGGTAGCCAGTGAACTCTGCCCCCTGCTTTCAGATCGGTCTTTTCTGGAGTCATCTTCCACATGGCCGTCAACATTACTTTTCTAAAACCCAACCCAAACTAACTCCTACGGAGTTGATGCCAGCTCAAAGCAGCCCGAAGGCCAGGGTAGACCTGCCCCTGTGGGTTTCTGAGACGGTCACTCTGTACTGGAATAGAGAGCCCTGTCCGTCTGGCCCTGAACTAGAGATATCAGACTGCTGACCTTGATGTTAGCAGCTCAATGCATAACCACAGGTGTCAGTAGGGCTCCTATTTCCCTAAAACACGGATAAAATTCTATTTCTCCCTGGGCAGCTCTCTGTAATAGCTTCATGCTGTTAGGCACTTTATCCTGTCTGCTGCCATTTCTCTCTGCCCAACATCTGTTCGTTCTCCCCGTGGGGCCAGAACCCTGGTTTCTCCCTGTTTCCCACCATCAGCCCATGTGGATTGCTTAGGCTTATTTCAACCCTGACAATGGGCATGGGCAGGTGGCCTAGGTCTGGCCAGCCAGGGCATCGGATTCCCCCGGGCTCTTCACCCAGCTCAGAGACATGTGTGACAACCCATGTGACAACCTGGGTCTGACCTGTCAAGGGAGTTCACAAACTCCAGTCCCAGCCTTGGAAGCAGAGTCCTTACCTGTTGGGCTGCGACCTGCATGAGCCATTCTGAGAGAGAAAGACGGGGCTTTCTGCTCTTGTAGAAAGTGACCGTTTCAGAAACGCCACGGGGCCGGTTGTCCTCTGTCCTATAGGGTCGCTGTGAGTCAGCGTCGACCTCATGGTGGTGAGTTTGGTTAGGTTTGGTTTATTCACAGTGATTGGTTCAGAGTTAACTAGGACATTCTATGACAGTCGAGTGCCTGCGAGCAAAACTCCGCTCCGCTCTCATGCCTGTGTCCTCTTCTCTCACCGTCTTTCCTCACATGTGACCAAAAAGGCCAATCCCAGTTCCATTCTGCTGTTCTATGACTGACTTCAGTGGAGAAAGGCTAGGAATTACAGGATGGCTCTGAGATGCTTCCGGACCTCTTGGGTCACGTCAATACATTCCCCTGAACTGGTCACGGTGACCGGAGTGTTCGAAACACACTGATTGGCCAGGCGGGGCGCACGTCTGCCTCCACCCATCTTGTTCTGAGCATTTCCCCACGCCACGCAACGTTCAGCTCAGAACCACCTCCTGACTTAGCTTTCCCACCTCCCACCACCTCAAAGACTCCACACCTCTTCTCCCTCAGCGGAGATGCATTTCTAGTCACTGGTCCTTGGAAGCTGGAGTTCCATGCTAGAGCCCCTTCAGGGCTAGACAGACTCATCTGTGGACCACCCTTCCCGACCCTGTGCCATCATTCCCCAGCTCCTTATCCCTGACGCGCAGCCCCTCAGCCCTGTGACCTCCTTGTCCGATTCAGACAGAGCCTGCATGGAGTGGGAGACCCAAACCCCAGCCGGGCACTACACGAGAGTCACCAAGGCTCTCAAAACCAGCATGGTGGTGTGGAAAGAATTCTAGGCCAGGAGTCACCTGGTGGGGTTCTAGTCCCAGCCTCGTCCCCAACTCTCCACATCACGTTCCCCCTGTAACTCCTGCCTCGGGGGCTCTGGCATCCTGTGAGTCTCAGCACAGGCCTCTCTCTTCCCCATCTCATTGATTTTCACTGCAATCCCATCAGGAGGCATCCAGGCTTATTATTCCCATTTCCTGCCAGGGAAAGCTGAGGCCGGAGGGATTTGTTGGCCTCTTCAATTCATGCAACTTCTTCATGGCAGAGATTAACTCCGATTCTTAATCTAATAGGCTTTCCAGCAGACGAGATTTTATACATAAGTCTGTCTGTATTAGGATCTATGTTTATATTTATAATATATTGCTATAGATTAAATGTCCTATGTGTATGATGTTAGAATACACCGGCATTAGGGACCCCATGATTCCATGTCATTATTTGAAACAGGGGGAAAAAGAAGTCCAGAGAGGTGGAGAGGCTTCCCCAAGGTCACACAGTGAGGGATCAGTCGTGCCGCGGCTAGCGCCAGGCTGGCCGGGACCCTGTCCAGTGCTGTGTGCTCCAAGCTTTGCTGCCTTGGTCCTGGGGCACAGCGTGAACCCTTACAGTTTCTGGTCCTGGGCTCAGTTTTTCCATTCCATCACTGAGCTTGGAAAGGCCATCGATTGTCATCTAGCTTTCAGCCGAAAGTCTCCCATTGCTGTAAACCCAGTGGCTACCATTCCAGGGAAGGGACATGATGAAGTGCGGGATGGATCTTCTGTGATGGTAAGTGGGCTTTGCATATGCAAATTGAATGGATTTTAAAATGGTATTTAATGACAATTTTCGTAGCAGACATTAACATTAATTGCACAAAAATGAAAATGCTGCATTAGGTTGCTGTTAGCAGCAAATAGCGTGGCCATAAAGCTTTATCTTGATCAACGGCAGCCTGTTCTGATGTGACAGGGCAGCTCAGCAAATTGCAGGCAAAAAGGGCTTTCATGAAACAGAAATGTCCCCCAAAGCAGGCCCCAATCAGCATCCATTCCGCTTTATTTCTTCATAAGTGGAGGTTAAATGGCTGCTGGAAAAGCTTTCATTGAGATGCCCACCCTGCCCAGCACACCACTCTCGGCTTCCCAGCATAACTGCAGACGAACTGCTACAAATAACTGCCCCGCTCAGTAATGCGGCTATTACTTTACAGTTACGGGAGCAAAGCCCACTCCTTAACCACTTTTTACAAGCCTGATGGTCTTCTTGTCCTTCTCTTCTTTTCTTTTTGATGACCACATTTAAAAACAAATGTGATCTGATTATACCCAACTACCAAGGAGTTGGGGTGCTTTGGTCCAACAAACAAACAAAAACCCCATTCCTTTACAATCATGGGTGTGTTAAAAAGAAAGTCTCTTGGTGGTAACCAAGCCGGTGGCTGTCACGAAGGCCTCTGAGGTTTACACTGAAAAGTGGTTACCAAAAAAATGAGGAGCTGATGCCAGGGGCTTCAGTGGGGAGCAAATGTTTTGAGAATGATGAGGGCAACGGATGTGCAAATGTGCTTTACACAACTGATGTATTATGGATTGTGATAAAAGGTGTATGAGCCCCCAAAAAAGATTTTTTAAAAATAAAAGAAAGAAAAGCGATTACAATGGGAAATTGGGGGGCAGATGTCTTTTACCGGGAAGGTAAAAGACCGGGTGACACATCAGTTTGTGTTTGGGCACCAATCGAAAAGTTGGCCCCTTGAACTCCTCTGGCAGTACTGCGGTAGCAAGTCAGGTGATCTGTGGCCCACGGGGCTGCCATGATTCAGAATCTACTCTGCAGCAATGTGGGGTTTGTGTTTGGTTTTTTTTCAATTTCTTATTTTACCATGATAAGACTTGGAAATAAAAGCCCACTGCAGATGAAATGCTCGTAAAGCTCGCTCTAAACTAGGGTCACTGTGAGTCGAATCAATCGATGGCAGGGGGTTTGGTTTTTCTTGGTAAGCTAGGGAAGGTCAGGTAGAGGAATTTGAAACACCACCCGAGTTAAATTCCCAACTTCTAGTTCCTATGAGCTAGCCCCTATGCTTGACCTCCCTGCCTGCCCCTCGCCATTAAGTCTCTTGCCCTTTATGTAATTTGCAATGAACAAAATAAATAGGCCATGAGGAGGCAGCACCCCCTCTTTTCCACCCTGTCCCCCCACCCACTTTCCCAACCCCTCCATGGCAGATGGGATTTGGGCCTGAATGTAAAATTATTCCATTAGTTTCTTTCCGGTTAGTTGATTTAGTCCCCAATCCACACCAGTTTGTTATAGGCCATCACTCACTTGTAAGGATATCTTTCAGCTGACACCCCTCTCAGCATCCCAGCATAACTGCAGAAGAACTGTTAAAAAAGCACTGCCCTCTCAGTAATGCAGCGATTGCTTTACAGGAATGGGGCCAAAGCCCATTCCTTAGCAACCACCTTTTACACAATCTCTATTTCTTAAAGGAAGGAGAGGCCTAAACAATACCTGGAAAATGGGGCCATGCAGACCTGTGGTCTACAGCCACGGCCATGTCAACCCAGAGAGGTGTGTGTTTGGCCCACATAGAGGTTAAAAAAAAT